AGAGGGTCCGCCCTTGCGGGATCTCTCATTTAGAATCCTGTTGGCCATAACCGCCATGTCCCCACCTTCATGGATGGGGGTTGGGTGAATAGCCTTATTCCCTTTTATAAAAGACCATTGTGTTTTTCAGTCATTCCCACTGCCTGGGAATGATATGGCATATGTAACTTCCACTGAATAGACAACTGGGAAGCCCACTTCTGTACCTCATGTCCAGTAAAGTGGGTTCCATTATCACTCTTTGTGACTGGAGGCTGGCCATACATGGCTGTAAGGCTATTCAGTGCCTTCACGATGCTTACCTGGTCTGGGGCCTTACAAGGCCAGAAAAACAGAAGACTAATAGCCATATCAACAGCTGTGAAGACGTATCTGGAATTCTCTGAACTTGGCAGTGGTGTGACAAAGTCCATTTGCCATCGAGTCGGGGCACCCTTCCTCGAGTTATTTGCACATCTGTATGCGGCACCCATGGGGGGTGTGGACTCTCTGCGGGGGTGTGGACTCTGAAGTGCATACTGGACAAATGCAACAGGCGTTCACTACAACTTCCCATTTTATAGGCAGGGCCTATCTTTGAGCTGCCGTCCACACGGTTTTACTGCCAGCATGCTGCATTTGTCGATGCAGCCACTGGGCTACATCAGTAGCTGGGGCTCTCTCCAGCCATCTTTTTTTTTTTCTTTTTGTCTTTTTTCGTGACCGGCAACGTGCAACCCTCTGTGTCGCGCCCGTACCGGACCGGGACCGGCAACGGGATCGCAACCCTTGGTGTTGCGCCCGCACCTCGCTCAGCCAGTGAGCGGCAGGTCTGTATGTGGGATCCGAACCCTCGACGGGAGCGCCGCCACGCTCCCAAGTGGCACACTGTAGCAGTGCGCCACCGGGCCGGCCCTCTCCAGCCATCTTAACTTAGCCAAGGCATCGGGCTCGTCATTGCCTGGACTGGCTAAAGGGAAGTATCCTGTGACATGGCAAAGAGTTACTTCTTTCTCATGTCTCAATTCCCATAACTCTTTTCACATGGCTTGTCCTCACAGGGGCCTGTGGCCTACCATCCACTGTTGATATTTCCAAGTAGAGATCTAAAGGGTTAAACCTTTGTACACAGCCCAGCTGTCAGTACAGATGGTCAATGGCCCAGGATTATTTTTTATCACCATCCATACTGCTCTCAGTTCAGCCCATTGACTTCTTTGCCCTGTGCCATTTTCATACCACATGGTATCTGTTAAGGGCTGGACAGCAACAGCTGTTCACAATGCTGAGAGTCCCATGCTAGAGCCATCTGTATACCAAGCTTGCTCCATAATAGGTCCCTATCCCTCATTGAAAGGTGTGGCCTTGACCTCCATGGATAAGGATTGTGTCAAAATTTCCTCTACAACCTCTACTGGTGCTAGCATAGTCTAAAACTGTTTAGACAGAGGACTCGTTGATATAGTGCTTCTTTGTTCTGTATATGCTCCCCAGTTAGACAGAGTGGGAGTCTGAGCTATGCCCACGTGCACAGCCAACCTATTATGGGGTATGTCGTCCTTACTAGGACTTTGGCAGTTCCTGTGATAGCTTCAGTAGCTGTCAGGGCAGAATACACAGCTGCTATTTCTCTATTAGAGAACAACACACTTCAGCACCCTTCCACAGCTGAGACCAAAATCCTTCAGGTGTTCAAAATCAGTCTTGTCTCTGCCATAAATCCCATCCTAACCCTACTTGGGTTATATCTATGTCTAATTCAAAGGGCTTAATGGGATCAGCCACTTGTAAAGTCTGTACTTGCTGTATTGCCCTTTTTATAGCCTGGAAAGCCCATTCTACTTCCTCAGTCCAATCCCAGGGGGCTCCTTTCT